CATCATGAGCTGATATCGGTTAGAGCACCACTGGAATTCCTGGGAGTACTGAATAGCTGTTTCCTCACAGTTTGGGACTACTTTGTCAGTACGCACCCACTGTAGTTCGAACCTAGGACCTTCTAGTTACAAGGCGAGCAAGCTCGTAGACCAATAAGCCATTGCGATCCAATCCAGCGGCCAACCCATGAATTCTACCTTCTGCCGATTCATGAAATAGCGCTACCACTAGCCAATGTCTTCCGCAAGTATTTGTCCTCACATCCAGCTCGCCGCACCATACTGGTCACGGCTTCTCACTAGAATCCCAGTTAACTACCTACCTGAATAGGACCAGTCACAAGTGTGCATCTCATTAATGTTCAAGTATTGGTTTGGTTTATTTGAAATTGCTTATTCACGTCTGTGACTGTCTGCTGACAAATCCGAATTGAATATGGATTCCTTGAATTAATTCCTCTTCAATGTCAAGATAGTGGTTTTGGCTAGTAGCTAAATCCAGGACACTCGTCTCGTCCTGTTTCGGGCTCATCATTTGCATCCCCGATGGGTGAGGGTTTTCCTACCCGCTACCTATCGCTTCAGCTTTTTTCTCAGAGTAGTTCAAGACACTTCATCAGTACTCATCCACCGACAGGGTTCCAAAACAGGACCTTCCAGTTACTAGGTGAACTCGTAGATCATTCAAGGCATTGATCGGTTCAAAGAATAAAATATTTGATACAGAAACGAATAAAACAAGTTTAATCAATTCCACGGAGTAAAATCTATCTCACGATAATATATATTTATCCATCCAAATAACATTGGCATATGCATATTACAGTGTCTCTTCCATTTACTGGGTGGAAACATTTCTCGATCGATAAACAGACCTACATCACACTGCTTTTCTCTGTCTCTTTTCTTTGTCAAAGAAACGCAAAGAAAATGAGAAATTTTGCTGTTTAAGTTTTAGTCCTTCTTTTTCCTCATCTATTTTTATTTATTTTCTCCTAGTCTAGCCTAGTTATTTGAGTTGAGCAACAGTTGAAGAGACAGAGAGAGAAAGAGGTAGTGAAGAAGAGGTCTAGAGAGAAAGAGAGAAGTGTAGTCACTTGGAACAATGAAAAGAGAAACATGAATGTTTGTCGGTAAAACAACGTCACCCATATACATTATGATAGGGTTGAATAAGGGTTGGAAAGGAAAAATTAATTTTAAGGTGACGCCATTTTTACATCATACTAGTAGAAAATAAAATAAAATTAATTAAAAAATTCAGTCTACTATGTCTACAAATGATGCGTTGTTTGTTCTACGGTAGAATGCTCGCCAATCACGTACATGGTGCTGGGTTCGATTCCCGGCCAACGCTTATCTACTTCTCGCATAGTCTGTGGTAAACCCAATGAAGACGAAAGAGTAGGTGTCACTCTAATAGCTTCACCCTCAAGCTTGAAGCTTCATCTTCCCCTTGATACTCAATGAAATGATGATCATGATAAAACCATCCGCAAGTACTGTAGAAATAATATAGAACAGTAATAAAGATTAATAGGTGAAGCCGTTACACAAATACTAGAACTGATAACCCAACCTATAATTAACCAAAAATATGGGTACATTATATTGATGATACATTTTTGGTAATAATTAAAATAAATTATATGGAATACAAAAAGCATATCTGAAGACATTAAATTCTTAAGAAAAGAAGAATTAGACGACAAAATTCCATTCTCAGATGTCTTCATCAAGAAAACTGACACAGGAAATTTAGAAGCACAAGTCTACAGAATGTCATCACACAAAGAGGCCGAATACTCAGCTATAACCCAATTACTCACAGAAGAAACTTCATGCAGACATTGTTCTAAAGATCTCAAACACACTGAAGCACTCAACTACCGAAGAGAATGAAAGAGAAATACCTACTAACTGTCATCAGAAAATGTTTCAACCGATATCAAAATGCCAACATTAAAAAATATGTCATTAGAGACCACAAATAAAGTTCACTCTACCATATATATAGAATATTTCTGAAATAACAGATAGAATATTTAGACCGTTTTGAAATAAACGCAGTACACAAGCCAGCCAGCACAATCACTTCATTCGATGTTGTGCAGACCTAAAGATTTAGTCCTTTTTTCAAAATAAATTATATGAAATGCGATAAACATTGCATTGGTCAAACTGGGCGGCACCTTTAAATCCGAATCCAAGAACATAACTTTTCTCTGAAAAGACACTGTATATATTCCTGTTTCATATCGATACACGTGGATAATAATGGACACCAATTTGATTGGGATAAATGTAGAAATTCTAAACACAGGAAACACCAAAATCGCAGTCAGGGAACTTTTAGAAGTTCGATACACAGACGAATCAGCGATTAACAAACACATCATTCCTGAGGAATTCAAGTAAGTTGATTTCATACTAAAACCTGCACTGAAGATGTTGTCAAGAAGGACAACCACAGCTTCGCAATTTAATCATCCAGCTCAGGAAACACAGCTAAATCAAAATCACTCATATTGGCGACAAATCGTCTGCATTGTTACAAAAGGCTCGAGATTGAACAGCTTACTGGCACCAAACAGTACGATTGTGTGCCACCCATCAAAGACCGTTCATAGCGTGGACTGTCTGAAGGCGTTTGAGCTAACCAACAGGCGAACGAAATCTGGTATGCTGGATTTTACAGAATTAATCTTTATTACACGAATAAAACAAAATAAAAATAAGTTTGTGTTTTCCTTTTTCTATTTGTTACACATCGACAGTACTCATCCACCGCCAGGGTTCGAACCCAGGACCTTCCGGTCACAAGACGATATCGTAGACAATTCAGCCACTGGGACCCGACTCAGTAGCTAGTCCACGAATTTTGATCTTTACCAATTCGTGATTAATGTTGTTAATAGAAATCAATCTACACAATTGTAGAACTTGATGAAGAAGTCATCGAAGAGAATATTTTTTGTTCACTGATCTCAGCCTTTTGAAAGTTTTGATTAGTATTCTAATCAATTGAGGTGAATTAACTAACTAACTCTTGAGTAAATAAACTTTTAACCCACTTTCAAACGCTCAAAATATTTCAAGATTTATTTTAATCGGTAAGCACATAACCAAGCTCTGAATTCACTTGTCTAGACTTACATTCTCAGAGTCCTTATCTCATGCACATTAGCCAAATAAGTTCTAAAATGTCTCCCTCAAAAGTTATCTCAATGAATACACTTTCCGATTCGTGTTTCGCCCCACCAATACAGATTACACATTAGGTAAGCTACTGGTGAAGTGAGTAAGAGAAGATACCAAGTTTATTAAAGTTGATAAAGTGTTGCATATATTATAAGACACAAATAGTACCAGTGCGGTGTGTGCTACTGATAAGGTTTATCAGTAGTATATTAAGAGACATTTGTAGGTACAAAAAAATATCAAATAGTGGAGGGATAGATTTGACGTCAAAGACAGCAAATGAACCAGTATTGCGGCAAAAACTGATAGATATGAATAAAAGACGAAGGAACACAATACGAAGGAAGGACAGAAGTAGCACAACACAGAAGATCTGTGCATATGACTCACTGCATATAAGGTGTGCACATAATGTCCCTACAGGCGTCTATCAAACTGCAAATAAACATCCCGTTACTAAGTATCCTGCCTACTACCATTACACCAGTATCTAGTGGCCTGCTTAAACTACTGAACCAACTAATTTTTCATCCATCAAAATTCATCTTATTTACTGCATTTCATGTCATTTTAATTATCTAATCATATTTTTGAATTTCTGTCTGTACTCACATCCTTTTTCAAATAGGATTCAACATACTGCCACGAAGTTTTCGATGGAAACAGCGGGAAGACTAACTGACTGGTTTCAACATAGAACTTTGCACAGATGTGCAACAGTTCGAGTTGCCACTCTCCCTCCATCTAACACACAAAGCAAGAGAAGAGAGTAAAGAAAGATTCAAAATAGAGATAATAAACAGGAATATGAGGCAAAAGAATAGTTATATGGGAGAACATTAGAATTTTATTGGATATTATAAATCATAAGGAGTGGATGCATCTGCGTCATCACAGAGAACGATTCTGAGCCATATCACCGATTGTCTACAGCCTTCATTGATTTTTACCATCCCGAGAACTTCAACCAGTCAGGAATTCTACACCTTCCTAAGTGGCTGGCTGTCTTAAACTAACTGTTATGGATTCCATTGATTGATGAAGCCGTTTTTGTTTGACCGCCACTAGCTCTTTTCCAACCTGACCCTGTGTCAGCTAACATTGCTCGTCGAGGAAGGCAATGGTTAGGTATGAGCGAAACATGTCCTAACCATATCAGTCGATGTAGTTTCACAGCCTGGTCGATTGATTTCCCCTATTTACCTAGAACTCGACCGGTACCTAACCACAACACTGCTTCCCCTTTCGTACCACTTCACAAGGAGGACAGAAGGCAGACACCTATGATCGAAAACAGCTAGCATATTCAAATCTTCCATTTTCAATTAATATATCTTGCTGACAGCTATAAAAGAGGACGGAGCGGACTGCTGAGCAGTGCATACGCTCTTTGGTCGACAGCCAGCTGGATATCACGCCTACACCAGAGATGGAGTAAACTGGCATATGCGAAACCAGCTTTCTGTATCCATGCTGAGATTTCGTCAGAGATCAAGCCGATCAACTGAGGAAAGGTATAGCAGGCATGCTTTAGACAGAACAATATTGCTTCAAATGATAAATTACCGGTTGTTAATTTACTTGAAATTTGTACACAGAGAACAAAGGAACTTTTCAAAGGAACACTCTAAGAATTCTGGTATAAATATTAACGCAATTATTCAGAATAAAAGTATTATAAAAATCTATAACTGAAACATTAAATTACACTACGTAATGTGCAGTTTCAAGTTATAAACATTTATGCATATAAAAGACTCAGAAATATCTATACCAGTAGCAATAGTAGCATAACTTACCAGCGCTATATTCAGCACTTGTTCTTTTCTTCATTTGATTTGTATTTGGTGGGGCCAGTTTTGATGAAATACTTGATCAGTAATTATTATTATACTTTAGAATTATGAAATTATCCAAAGGTGATAGATAAACTGTATAGTTTGCTTTTTTTATACCCTTTTACTCAAGATAGGCAGAAACGAAAATGTGAGAATAGTATCCGTATTTCACAGTTTTGTTCTTGCTAGATTAAACCAGTGTCAACTGTTTGTATTGTCTATAAGCAAAGCAATTTGAAAATCAGATCAGTATTCGACATAGTTTATACAAAACAATAAGTCAAATATTTATTACAGATGAGTTGATAAATTCAGTATAAATTAGTCTCCCCGAACCAGAAGTATTCTACAATATTCTGAAAGCTTTATTTCTCCTTTTGGATTATTTTAAATGGGAAATATCCAATCCATTTGATTGGTTATCATGGATACATTGTTCAACTTATTTTACCAATCAGAATACGCAGAGAAAAATTTTCCTTAATTATTGATAAAAAGACTTCATAAATGCTAATGATGGAAAAACATTTTCTGAATAAAATTAACTGTCAACTGTACGAAGTTAGCGCGTCATTAGAATCTAAAATCAATGAGAGAACCATTCAAAAATGCGGAGTACTGGACACCTGTTCCTTCATAGTTAGAGACATTTCAGCGGTTCACACCCATGAACCTGTGAAGAATTTTTCCTGCCAGTTGTGTTAAATATCACGAATGGCAAGAGTCGCCATAGGTGGGCCATTGGATTCTATCTGCAACGCCGAAATGGCTCAGTGGTAAAGTGTTCGACCAGATCTGTAGTGACGTCATAGGCGCGTCCTGACAGTGTTCAGTGATTTGTCTAAATGATGTCGAGTCATCATGAAATCTGACTTGAAATTAATCACATCCCTGTAAATCAACACTTGATGCATCTTAAGAAGAAAATTAGTCTATTGCAGTGGTAATTGGGATTACTTTCAGTGTATTGTATGCACAATCAGTATTTGCATAGCTGAAACAACTTCGCTGCCTAATGTTCATTCATTAGTCGCGGTACACTGTTGATTGGTACTGAGATTTCTAGATCTGGATAGTGAACACGATGGATTAGTGTAACTCACATTTTGTGCTACTTATATTAGTTAGTAATATATATGAATAATGAAAAACACCACGATTAAACAAACAAGTGTTCAGGCAGGCATAGTAGTCGATAAAGGTTAAGAAAAACAAGTGAACTGATTAAGTAATGCCAGATTATAAGGGAAGGAAATAAAATGGGTTTTAATGAAGACATGATAAGAGAAGTTATCAGTTGTTTAGGTCTAAATAGGCCAAGGGATGGATAATGTCTGTACGAACTTCTTTTGAATGCATAGCTTAGGTTAAATAGGCAATAGGCATTCGAACTATTAAACCTAAACTGTACATTCAAAAGTAATACATATATATTACATTATTCAAGCTCTGGCTCCTGATGATATTAATGATGCACAATAGGTTGTTTATTGTCATTTGAACTACAGCTGAATATCATTCGGAAGTCTATACGAAGTAAAGATTTAACTTCACTTCAGCCTTCCTCTTAAAAACTTAGACATTTAAATTTTTACGCTGTCAGGTGTTGAAACTATAAACCTTTAGGCAATTAGATACAATCCATTGAGTACTAGGAGTAAAATAGATCGCATTTTCATAGTAGGACTTTGTAAAAAAATTGCATATATAGTCGTAGAAAGGAAAAGTTTGGGAGAAAGTATAATCGAAGGTAGAATAATGAGGTTCCAGTAAATCTGAAGGACTAGTGAGAAGGATTTAAAGCCATATCACCCACCATCTCAAGTGGGTGATTTTAAACCTCTCCATTACCAGAGCCAGATAGTTTACAGCTCTCTATACAACTGAAACTAATAATTAGAGATTTCGTGAACTGATATCATTTTTTGGATTGAACACTCCCGATATTTCTGCGGCCTAATCCCATGTCAGGCAGCATTCCTCAAGGAGGAAGGCGATGGATTCATATGAGTAGCATATGTCCCACTAGCGGAAAGTGTCAGGTAAATATAGGTTGCAATGGTTGCTTGCATCAAACTCAGTACTATTCTTAAGACTTCCACTTATTTTGCACAGGAAAAAGTGAACTCTAATATAACTCCGATGTTAACTACCCTCTTTATACACTGAAGGTCTGATTTCAAATATAACATTCATCATTACTTAAACCACTTTAGAACACATTAAAATATCACGAGCAACGTCAGTGGAGAACTAAGAACCAGCTGAAAACCGACCAAGTTCTATTATTTGTATTGTCATGGTAGACGTTTTAGTTAAAAAAAAGTCTACTCTTTGAGTGCATGACCGTGATCAGGCGTTACTGTCGCCCTGAACTCTGCTAAAAATATTTCAGTACCATTTCAATGCTCAGTTAACAATAAGTCCTTGAATAGAAGATCTCTTCTTGTTGCAATTCATTAACATGGTGCCTCATGGCAGTTTATTTCCATTGAGGTTTTAAGTATTCAACAAAACTCACTAGTGATAATAACTACTTTTTGTTACTAAACTTATCAAATGTTTTCTAATTATGTCCATTAATAATAAGAAGCTCAGCAAAGACACCTTGTTGGTGATTTCCAGAAGGATATCTAAGCTGAGCTTCTTATTCCTTTCTATATAATGTCCCAATGGGTATTTACCACGATTTGATGAATAATTATTCTGTATAAAAATGATTTTATGTAAAAGCCCACTAAGACTGAGATATTCAAAACATTCACATAAAAAAGTGATTAAGTAGTATTGACTTAGAATGTGGGAGTAGTAAATAAGAATTTGTTTAAGATCGTTATCAGATACAGAGAAATATTCATCGTTCGATTATTGCCTACACTGCGTCAGTAGATAAGCTTGTTGTGGTTATCAAGACAGTTAGTATTTTTTATTAATTCAACCTGATATTCAACCTGGTCTAAAATAACACATCATCAAGCAATTCCCAAATCGTGCACCTCATAGAATGCTCAACTAAATATTTACTTAAAATCAGCATTAAGAAAATCATTACAAGTTACGTAAGTAGCCAGGAGTGCACAGTGAGAATGCATGACATTCTGATATGCACTCAAGAACCTAGCCAAAGACAAATAGTAGGTTTAATAACATTTTAGCCTACTCTTTCTTGCTGTCTGAAAGTGGTCTGAGATATCTCGTCTATATTGCGTCAATTCTACGAAACTTGAGGGCAGATACTGACCAAGGTGTTATTAGGTATTACTATTAGATTAGTCTGAGAGCTAAATTTAATCCAGCAGCGTCTGCGAAACATGATATAAGGCTGGCAAAAATGAAGAAGTGGAAAGAATTCCTTCTTCTTTTTTAAATAACTTTAGAGGAAACCGGTAAGCAATACAACGCATAAAGAGAGATTGGATTTACAATTAAAAGCGTTCTCTGAGCTGGTTGGTTTAGTCGCGAAGCTTTCGTCATCCTTCCGGACAACATCTTCAGCGCCATATTTAGCACGAAATGAAATGATTTAAATTTCCTCATGCGTGATGTAATTGCGTCTCCTGGTTACTATCTTCACATATGTATTGACCACTTTCTATTGACTAGGATTTTAAACTTTTTGGTCACCTGATTTACTTTTTATTAATTGGATTTCTTGTATTCACAAGACTTTATTATTATCGTCAACTAAACATCCAGGAAGTATATTTTGAAACTTACAAATGAAACAGTTTGTCGATTTGGAAGCAGCGAGTACATGGAAACTTCTCCAAAACAAGAAGCAATCACTCCAGAACAAACTTAAAGATATTAGTAAAAGCACCTATCAAATCCACTAGACACATGGTCTCAGTTACGTCTAGTATTTTGTAAACTATATGTCGAACCCTATCAAAATGCATTTCATAAATGTAAGATGGCTTACAGTTTAAGGAAACAATAGCTACTAATTCCTTAAACACATATACACTATGTGAAAATTATTGCAAAATTTGCAACAGCCGAAACGCGTACTTTCTTTAAATGGTAAACAACCACGATACAAATTTAAAAATCAAAATATCCAACCAAATTAAAACTTCACCAAGGAAGAATAATTTTTACAACTTTTGAACAATTAACAGTTAAAGTAAGCACTCAGAAATCGTGAAACACTAGATTGGGTTTCATTTACTCTAAATAAATTATGGATGCCTATCAAAATGTATTACATTTTTTAAATAACAAGAAGATAAATAAAACATCATGCGCGACTTACAATAAAAGTTTTAATATGCGCGCCGATGCTTCATGTGCATGTAAATGAATAAGTATAACAAATAGAGACTCAAAGTAATGTTGTACTTCCATGTTAAATCTGCTCTGTCAAATAACTGTTTTGTTAAATTCTTTTTTTTAATGAGGTGATCGAGAAGGAGTATCCACTTCTATGTTTCTGTTTCAGAGATTGAGTAACTCCGGAGGATACCGAGTTAACCATATATTGAAATTCATCCAATACTTTTGCACCGTTCTAAAGAGCCCCCTTAACTGTCGTAATTTGATTAGGATTGAAAACGACAAATCAGGTCAAAAGAATTTCCTAGGGATTTTCTACATCACGGCCAGTTGGTCTGAAATTGTGGGTCAATTGATTGGCAACAAAGATTGTGATTCCCTAGATAAACCATTAGACTCCACCGATTTCCCTATATCTAGGTTGTCCAAGCAACTAAATCGACACTCATTGATTTTTTGTATTATTTCGGGACTTACTGAATACTGATAATACAATACATATGCAACTCTAAGCCAGATGAACTGGTGCCGCCTACATGAGTGAAAGAACTCATTTCCAGATTCAGATTCAGTTGATTAGGATAGAAGGCTCTGGTGGCCTGTGTTAATCCTTGCAAAATATATCTCTGCAGAGATCTAACTTCTCTTTTAAAGCATTCACCGATGGAGCTATTACTACTGAATCAGGTAAGGAGTTCCAGTCGTTGACCACTCTGTGAGAGAATCTAAATTCTGCACATATTTTAATCGTCCTCGGTTTGAGCACCTTTATGCGGTGTCCCCGTAAATGTATCCTAGAAGGGGAGAAAAGTTTAGAAAGGTCAGTTCCTAGATCACCCTTAGGTATACGGTATGCTTAAATTAAGTCGCCTCTCTTCCTTCGGTGTCATGATGGGAAGAGATTTAAATGCTCCATCCTCTTATAAATAAATAAATAATAGTATATTCTCATTTTGTACATGAGGGACTCCAGTTTACAGGCATCATCAATATGATAAATTACATATACGATTAGTAAGCATATTTAATAATAGTAATTTAATAAAATACATTTTTTCCTACCTGTGTAGGACAC